GTCCCAAGAGTCTAGGCGGTTAAAAAGACCGCCAATGATGTTTAGTCCGGTTTGCCAACGATGTTGGGGAAGGCAGAGTCTAGGTGACTGAAATGGCTTCCCTGGGGTGGTAAAGAGTAACGTTGTTTGGGCAGGTACAGTTTGTTCACGCGTGTGGGGGCCCGGGAGATGTAATTGCAGAAAGGGTGGGTAGATGTTAATTGAAGAGGCAATGAAGATGACAAACCAGCCAGAAGATAAGAAAAGTACCAGTAATGGCCACAAGGGGGAGTCCAAGATAGTAAACCAACCCGAAGATGAGAAAAATACCAGTAGTGGCCACTGGAGGGAGTCTAAGCTCCAAGTACCCTGCCTTTCCAAAGCAATGGCGTCCGATATAAAAGAGTTCAATGAATAGTTCTGTCGGACGTGACTCTCTTGAGATGGTAACAGCAGCAGACAATAGCCAACACAGCCAGTACAGCAAGGAGCCCGTTGTTGAAGTCCTAGAGTCACACCCCCGGCAGTTAAACAATAGGTAGAATCCGACGGAGGTAATGGCAAGATGTAAAGTAAATGCCACGCCAGAGGGGAAGAGAGAAAATCAGCTGGGCTGCATTGCAGAGCTGCAGGGTTGTAATGGGGGGAGAGAACAGGCACTTCCATAAAGTACCCCACTCCCTGTTCGGGGCACAAGCCCACACACCAACAATAAAGCTTGTTCGCTCCCATCCAGACCCTGACAGCCTCTAGGCACTGGCACATCACTTCTACCGCTTCACTATAAATGTTGCTATCATTAATAGTTTGTCATTCATGTTTAATGTATTTTTACAGAGCAGCTTGTTGTGGGATGTGCTAAACAACCTGGTTCAACCTGGGAAAAGGATTATGATTCCTTTATTCTCCCTCTGCTTGAAGACAGACAACCATGTTATCTCCTGTACAGATTAGATTCTCAGAATGCTCAAGGATATGAATGGATCTTTATTGCATGGTCACCAGATCATTCTCCTGTATGTAATAGAATTAAATTGTTGACGACAAACCATACGTTAAATTCTTTTAAATACATCTTTTACTTCAAATTATTATTTGATCATTCCCATAGTTCACAGATCCATGTGCTTGTCTTCCACCTCCTCACCCCTAAATCATATCTTTCTTGGCTAACAGGGACCCATTGGAAAGGATAGCATCAATTGAAACAAAAATAAAATCTGTTCATGTGAATTTGTTATAATATTTGTTTTACTAGGCCTGGCATTCTGATATCCCTCCAGATGTTTTGGACTATAATTCTGAAGTGCTGTTGTCAGCATAGGCAGTGCCACTGAATTCTGTAACTAATAATTACAGAATTAATAATTCATCAATTTGTGAAGAACATTGATTCTTATTCTTACATTATGAGGAGTCCATCCATCTGACCTATGAGCAACTTTCAGCCCTCCCAGGTAGACCAGACAGATGAACTAATTCTACTTTATCCTAAGGTTATGTTAACAGAATCTTGCAAGTCTGAAAGTATAAATCTCCTGCCGTCTCTCATACAGTCTGAAAACTGGAAGGGGTCTCTTATTAGCCTCTTTCTTGGCCTATTATGCAGCAGTGGGTTATGCTGTCTCTTAACTGACCATTTCCCAGGCAGCATCTCTCCCTTCCCTCCCATTTTCCATAGAATTGCAGAGACTTGTTTCAAGTGTGAGAATATGAAATTTTCCATCTGGGATTGTTGTGTTCCAGACATTTTGCATTATAATTTCCAGCAAGATCAGTAGCTAAAGAATATTGAATCACATTGCCTATCTATTTTAATGAATAATGTATTTAGGAGGTAGTGGATATTGTACCCAAAGTTTTAAACCTTTGTTGGGAGTAATATAACATCAATAATGTTGTTTTATAAATGATAAATTATACTTTTTGATAAATCAGTAATTTAGTTGTTCATGTTTGCACCTAGCTCAAGTTAACATTTTGCTATTATGTCTTTCTTCCTATTATCATAATTTGCAATAATTTTGTACCTTTATCATATAATAATAATGTAATAATAAAAAGGAAAATTTAAATAACAATTTTAAAAAGTAAACAATTCTGTAAGAATAGAAGGATGGAAGAATTGTAAATCTATATGAAAAGTGGTTTTAGCATTTAATTTTCATTTAATTCAATTTTTAAAAATCCAAATTTATCCCTTTTATGACCAATCAGGTTCGACAAAAAATGTTATATGCAGCTACTCGGGCAACTTTAAAGAAAGAATTTGGAGGTGGACATATTAAAGATGAAGTATTTGGAACAAACAAGGTATGCATTCTATAGAAGCTAACATAGCCATTTATTTGTAAGTGATAAAGTAGAAATCAGTTGTATTTTCATGTGTTAATTTGATATTTTGGGGAGGAGCAGGGAAACTTAAAGTGGTTGAAATATTTTTGTTTGGGGAGTATTTTGTTGTTTGTTTCTTGGTTTGTTTTATCTCAGGACAATTTGAGTTTTCCTTATTTCCTTCCTTGCCACATTGCCTTTTAAATGTTAAACATTAGTAAAACTGTTTTTGTATTCCGAGAAAGAATGTAAGATACTTGCTCCTCTGAGACTGGAGCATTTCTGAATTTGGTGATCTGGAAACATAGTTGTAAGGGCTGTAGGACTGCATCTTTAATTAACTGTAAAGCAATATGATTCTGAACTGATCTGCTTCAGAAGAAAATATTGCAACTGGAAATTACCAGTCATGCAAAACTGATGGCTCTCTTTTTTCAGGATGATGTTTCATTAAATGGTTATCATAAATATTTGATGATTCAGTCATCCCCTGCTCCTCTGACAACAGCTGAAGAAGAACTTCAACAAATCAAGATTAGTGAGGTATTGCATTTTGGTATGGAAGCCAAACTCTTTTTAGAAGATTTAAAGCAAATGTCAAATTTCCTACAGCCCGAAATATTTTTTCTTAACTGTTAAACTCTTTGTATTTCCTTTCATTAAATAAGATTTATTTCTGATCAAATGTTCTTTGAATAGAAGCAAGCCCCCCTCTTCTTTTGCGATCCAGTTTAGTGACTTTTTTTTTTAAAAAAAGAGGATTCTTTCAAACATAAAGCGGATAGAAAGAACATACCATTCAAAATTATGACTATAATTGAGGATCCTAATTTCTTCTCTCATGCTTTGGATGAAGCACAAATATGCATTACGCAATTGCCTTTCTTTAATCTGTTTTAAATTTTGTGTTCCAGGTACAAACTGAAGTCAGTGTTGATACTAAACATCAAACTTTGCAAGAAGTTGCACTTCCAGTAGCTCAGGATGCCCTTCAGGCACTAAAAAAATTGAAAAGCAAAGAGCTTAATTATGTACATTTGGTAAGATAAATTAATTCCTTAAACAGAATACATTTATCAGCATTGCATATTGAATTATAAGATCAATACAGAACACAGACATTGTACTCCAATGAAAGAAAACCAATTCTGCTTAACGTCTTATTATTTAAGTGTGTATTAATCATAAAAAAAATGTTGAGGCTCTAGAAGTAGTACATAATAGACCAACAAAGATGGCCAGAGGCTAAAACATGAAGATCAGTTGTAGAAATTGGGTATGTCTAGTCCAGGAGTGTCAAACACCAGGGGTATTTAGATCTGGCCCATGGGGCCGACCTGGAACCAGCGAAGGACAAGCCTACAGTGCCTCCGCCAGCAAAAATGGAGCTCTGTTTTCACTCGCAGTAGATTACAGGAAGCCGTCGCGGCCAAAAATGGAGCTCGGGAGCCCATTTTTGCTTTCAGTGCACTCAGGCCAACATAGGCACCCCCGACATGAGTGAGGTCAAGTTGGCCATGCCTACCCTGGCCCCCTGAAGTCAAAGACAACCATCATGTGCCCCTCAATGAAATCAAGTTTGACATCCCTAGTCTAGTCTAATGAAAATAAAGACTAGAGGTGAAATCATAGCAGTGCTCCAATATTTGAGGGGCTGCACAAAAAATAGGGGTCAACATGTTTTCCAAAGCACCAAAAGGCAAGACAAAAAACAATGGATAGAAATTATCACGGTGAGAAGCAATTTAGAATTAAGGAGAAATTTCCTAACAGTAAGAAAAATTAACCAGTGGAATGGGTCAGAAATTGTGGTGGTTCATCACTAGAGACTTTTAAGGAAAGACTGGACAGTTACTTCTCTGGAATGGTAAAGGGTCTCCTGCCAGAGCAGACTAGAGGACTAGAAGACCTCTAAGATCCCTTCCAAATCTGTTATTCTGAAATTAAAATAATAGTTAGAATTAAGTATTATATCCAGTACAAAAAGAGTATTTGATTCATTAGAGAGTGGGTTTTTTATTTTTATAGAAGTTAATATCCACAAAGCTTGACATCAAAATCTGTTTCTGTTGGCTGAGAATCTTCCAAACATGAGGGAAAACACAATAAAGATGGAAAAAGCAACAAAAAAAATGTTCATGCTTCATTCTACTTTAAACCTTCCTTTGGATCCTCGTCAGCAGAGTGAAAGTTTGAATTCCATGCCTCATTATTTTAAATTTCATTCAACAAGAATATATTGTAGGGGTATTCAACATTAGCAGCTTTAAAACTTGTAGACTTCAACTCCCAGAATTCCCAGGCAACATTTCCAAGGTTGAACACCCCTGATATATTGTATACTTTTTTTATAATCATTAGTATTATATATGTTCACAGCAAATTGATATGAAGAATGAAATTATTGTCCTGGCCAGTATACTTCCAACTGAATTAAAGGACTTGCCAAGACGAATTCCTAAGAATTCTGCACGATAACATTTCTTCCTCTACAAGCATTCACATGAAGGAGACTACTTAGAATTCATAGGTAAGTAATACTTTCAGGCTATCATGTACCTTATTTTTCAGAGTATAAGATGCACTCCCCCCCCTCCCCCCCAAAAAAGAAGGTGAAAATTTGGGTCCATCTTATACACCAAATGTAGCCCCGCACACCTGCTGGCCATTTTCAGCCTCCGCACATCGCGGTTTAGATCTGTTCCTGGCTGCAGGGATTGCCACAGGCCATCGCTGCCTCCATGTCTCGCGCTTTTGGCCTCTGTGCCTCGCGTTTTTGGCCTCCATGCATCACATTTTCAGCCTCTGAATGTTCCATTTTAGACCTGTTCCAGGCTGTGGAGATTGCCACAGCACATAGCCGCCAATTGCCACTTCCACACATCACATTTTCGGCCTCCACACACCCCATTTTTGGGCTCTGTGTGTTACTTATTTGGGCAGTTCCAGGCAGTGGGGATCGGGATGTGTGGCGATCTCCACCAACTGAAACTGCCCGAAAACGTGACGCACAGAGGCAAAAAATGGGGTGTGCATAGGCCGAAAATGTGATGCGTAGAGGCCGAAAATGCAATGTGCGGAGGCAGTGATCAGCAACGATGTGCTGTGGCGATCCCCACAGCCTTGAATAGATCTGAAACAGAACGTTTGGAGGTTGAAAACGCAAGGTACAGGGACGGCAATGGTCTGTGGCAATCCCTGGAACATTCTGAAACAGCTGATTGGGGGTATTCCGGAAGGCCGATCCACCTGTCAATCAGCTGCTCGTGCTGAATCAGGCTGCGATAATGTGCTGAAGCTGACCTTGCTGTTTGCTGCAAGATCACTAGCCAGATACATACTGATGGATGCTGGTAGGCAGAAGCAGATTTTTTTTCTTGTTTTCCTTCTCAAAATCTAAGGTGGGTCGTATACTCCAGAATGTCTTATACTCCAAAAAATATGGTAGATGGACAACTAAGTGATTAGAAGTTTTTTGGCTAGGTCTTTGAGCCAGTAATTTGCACCAGTGTAACAGATGTGTTTTCTGATAACAGCAACCTGCACTATGCTACACCTTACTGCTTTGGACAGAGGTGGAGAACCATGGTCCCTTTATGACTTGTAGACTTCAACTCCAGAATTGAAGTCCCAAGAATTCTGGGAATTTAAGTCCACAAGTCAAAAAAGGGCCATCATTCCCCACTCCTGGCTTAGGAAAAAGAATAAGAAGCTATGTCTTTCCCTGGCCTGCATGATAGCCACATGATCCCGTTCCTTAACTCAGAAGTACTACAACAGAAGCACATAGCTACTAAGCAGACCCAAGGTAAAGTTTCTTCAGAAGGTGCCAGCAAGATTGATGTGCATGTCTACTCCTGCTGTGAAATATCTTTTGAGCTTCAAGCCCAAAATTCTGTACAGGTAAACTTGAATTATGAATCCTTGAATTACAACATTCCCGCCAAAAGTACTTATGTCTGGGTCCCAAAGTTATGTAATTTGGAGCATCACAGAGATCATTCGTACTTACAGACGCTACAACATGCTCCTTTGGTGCCATACCTGAGAGCTCTGTGCTGCCCATGCTCGCCTCCTGCGTGGCCTTGGGTGCCAGAGCCCTTGTCTACCAAATGGAGAAGTCCTGGGTCGGCCTCTCCCTTTCACTGCTGATCCCCAGCCCCTCTCAAAAGCAGGCACGGTCCTGTCACTTGTTGGAGTCCTGAACCTGCCTGGATTCCACAAGTTGCACTGCCGCAGGCTACCTGGATATATTTTGCTTCTATACAGGTTTCATTTTGCCCTATCTACATTTAGCTCCAGTCAAATTGCAGGCCTCAGAATATTGATATACTCATCCCCATCTTTTAATTATATTTTATCTTTTGGGATTTCAATTCTAAGATATTTATTTGTTAGGATTTTAATATTTTAATGCTGGAAGCCACCCAGAGTCATTCATTACAAGATGAGAAAGAAAAAAGAAAAGAAAAAAAGAGAAAGACCTTGAAAAAGATGGTGTCTGCTACCTGTTTTTGAGTTTGGCTACTTAGCATTTCCTAATCTTATGATAGAGATTTACAAGCTTAATTTTTAAAAATGGAATAACAAATCATTACTTGAAATACTTTGCAGTTTTTATCTACTCTATGCCTGGTTATATGCGCAGTATACAAGAAAGGATGCTTTATTCTAGCTGCAAGAATCCTCTCCTAGAAATTGCTGAAAGACAGCTAGGGATACAAATCATTAGAAAGGTAAGACCGCAATTCCAGACACTCTACTTCTTGACAGACCCCTGAGATAAAGATCTCTGCAGATGATATTTCTTTTTCACAAAAAGAGGAACAATTTGAAACAATATTCAGTAGATTTATTATTGAATCCAAATGACTTTTGAAGAGAATAAAAATGGTTACTACCATGTGCCACAAACATTTGCCCAGGAATATTAAGCTGCTACATTCACGTCACTGTGAGATAACATTTTCAGTATATGGTATCAAATTATTAAACAATTCAGACAATAGTAGGATAATTCAACAATGCTATATTTGATAATACCATTCTCAATTTTTGTTCCATTATCTGATGTAATACATTAGGGTAAGAGATTCAGGGGGAAAAACTTTTAAGCATATAAAATATTGTCCCTGATGTCATCCATGTTCATGTAATTTTGTTTTTCTCACAACAAACAAATCAGAAATAGCAATGATGGTCTGTGATTTATCAATACATTTTGAAAATGTGGAGGTGAGGGTCCTCTAATATAGAAAAAGATTGGAGACTATGAGTTGCCCACCCAATATAAGTCAGATAAGTAAGTCTCACTGGAGTAGTTTTTAGTCATCGATGTTGGTCAGAGTTTGACAGATAGGTACATGCCTAATTATATTAAGTTCATACAGCTTTCTGAAAGAAGTTTCCCACTACCATAACCATAGCCTCCCCCCCCCCCCCAAATTCCTAATCCAGCCTACATATCCTACCAAGTTTCTGCTAGTGGCTCATTCAATAACCTGATCTATACATGTTAGCTTTTGGGTATCAGTTGAACTAGACATTATTTGACATGACAGGGAGTTAAGTGACAGGGTTAGATACAAGGGTCTAAACTCTCTAACCACCTCTTCCCCCCAGGGGAGCCCTTTGGCTTATCAGAGAATTTTTTTGTGAAACTGCTTCACCAATCTATCTGCTTTCACATCCCAGCTTTTCACCCAAGTGGCCTCAGACAAAGGGTACCCCTTCCAATGAATAACCTGTGCATTCTAGAGTCCAATATTATCTTCACTTCATAATGTGTTTCCTCTTGTACTACAATTGGCCTGGGAGCTGGTTAATATTTTGGTCTTATCTGTGAGCTAAGTGCTAGTTTCAGCAAGCTGCTATAAAACACCGGATGCACTTTCCCTAACAAGCAGGGAAAGTTAAACTGTACAGTTACTGGACTTATTATTTTCACTATGGGGAACGGTCCTAGGAATTTTGGACCTACTTTCTTGGTAGGCAATCTTAGCCTAAGATACTTAGTGGATAGATTGACCCGGTCTCCCACTTTAAAGAGAGCTTGAAGAGATCGATGTTTGTCTGCCTGCCATTTGTATTTCTCTGAAGCTTGGGTGAGGGCTCGTTTGGTATTTTCCCATCATTGTTTTAATGAGTCTATCCTTTCAGTTAGGGTCATTGAGGATGGAAGCTGTCTGGGTAACTCAGGCATGGGCACAAAGTCCATTCTGCTAGTGATTTGGAAAGGGATTAGCCCGGTGCTACTGTGGACCACATTGTTGTACGTTACTTCCGTGAACAGCAGCACCAGTTGTCTTGTTGATAATCCACATAGCATTTCAGGTACTGCTCCACTATTGTGTTCACTCGTTCCATGGCTCCGTTCGTGCTCGGATAAAAAGCCGAGCTCAGTCCTTGAGAGGAGCCAATGGATTGTAGGAACTCCTTCCAGAACTTTGCTGTGAATTGGACTCCCCGGTTGGAAATGACTCGGCAAGGCACTCCATGCAGTCTATAGATATGCTTGATGAACATTCTCACCAGTTTTTTAGCCAAGGGTAATCTGGAACAAGCAATGAAATGAGCTTGCTTAGGGAATAGATATATCACTGCCCAAATGACGGTGTTCCCTCTGCTCTCAGGAGTTCAGCTATAAAATCCATGGCAATCTCCCATGGTTGGTTGGGGTCAGCTACCGATTGAAGTAAACCAGGGTTTTTTTTCTGGTCTTGTTTTCATGGTTGCACAAGTGGAGCAGCTTTTTTTAAATAGTCCTCCATATCTGCTTTCATTTTTGGCCAACAAAATTGTCTCCTTGCTAAGTAAAGGGTTTTCAAAAACCCAAAGTGACCAGCCAACCAGAACTCATGATTGCACTGTAGTACCTATAGCCTTAGGCTGACTGGGACATATAGTTTAGATCCCTTCCAAGCTAACACATCTGCCTTGGTTGCCCTTAATCCTTTGGTCAGTGGAGAATGCAGACTTTAAGGGCTGCGGTCATCAGGTCCCCATTTGGGTCGTCTCGATTCCAGGCATGGCTTCTAGTAGTCACTTGAGCTGCTGGTTGCGAAGGGGTATGACTGCATGTACTGTTTCCTCCCGTTGGCTGTTGAACTGGGATTTTCTTGATCTAGTTTGTTTTTTCCTCCAGCAATGCGTTTTAGCACAAAGTTGAACCGCTTGAAGTATTGCACCCAGAGGACTTAAGGGGACAACTTCCTCGGAGTCTTTAATGTCTCTAGGTCAGTGATGGCAAACCTTTTTGGCACCAAGTGCCCAAGACAAATGCATGTGCATGTGTGTGCCAGAAACCCGAAGACCAGATGGCTGATGCGCACATGCCCGTTTCTTGGCCATTTTTAGGCAGTTTTTCCAGCTGTTTTCCAGGCAGTTTTTCCAGCTGTTTTCAGGCCATTTTTTGAGCTATTTCTGGGATGTTTTGGGGGCCATTTTTCAGGCAGACTTCAGGCCATTTGGGGGGGGGGATGTGTGCACTAGAAACTAGAAGAGCAACTGGCAATGGTGTGTGTGCCCACAGAGGGAACCTGTGTGCCACCTCTGGCACTTGTGCCATAAGTTTGCCATCATGGCTCTAGGTTCTTGTGGTCTGTCCAGATCTCAAAGGGCATGCTGCTGATTTCTAAAAAGTGTCACCAAGACAGCCCATCTGATCTCTTTCTCCCATATGGCCCATCACCATTCTGTGGCTATGGATTTTTGGGATATGTAGGTGCAAGATTGCAGTTGGCCCTGAGGAATTTCTTGTACAAGCACTGCAATGACTGTGACATCACTGGCATTGCCCTGCATTGCAAATGGCCATTCGGAGTCAGGGTGTCATAGGATTGGTCCCTTTAAATGGTCCCTTTAACTTTTCAAATGCCTGTTGACAGTCAAGGGTCCAGTTTAAGTGTTGATTGAGCCGGGGCTTTGGGCCAATTCCCTTCATCTTTAATAGCTCCATAATCAGCTATCTCAGTGAACATGGGAATGAACTGTTGGTAAAAATTTGCAAAGCCTAAGAAGCTTTGAAGTTGCTTGTGGGAACGGGGAGGCTGCCAAGCCAATACTGCCTTAACTTTTCCTCGGTCGATTTCAACCCCTTCTTTTGACACTCAGTAGCCCAGGTACTCTAGAGAGGTCTTTTGGAACTTGCATTTTGACAGCTTAGCGTAGAGCTTAAAACTTGCCATACTAGTTTGACATGTTTCTCCAGTTTTGCTAAAGATAAAAATATCGGCCAAATACACTAAAACTTCTTTCCATAGGTGCTCATGCAGCATCTTGTTAATGAGTTGGATGAACACTGCAGGGGCTCCCTGTTGTCCAAACGACATGACTTTAAACTGGAAGCTGCCTAATGGGCAATTGAATGCTGTTTTCCATTCATCACCCTCCTTGATCAACACACGGTAGTAGGCTTCTCTGAGGTCTAGCTTGTAAACACCTTTATCTTTGCCAGGTAGTTGAGCATGTCATTCATGAGGGGGAGAGGATAGGTGTTTTCCCCACATACATGCCTGAGGGACCTGAGCCAGTGTGAGGTATTCAGAAGCTTGGTATCCCAGGTGGTCACATCTGAAGCACTTTATATTGGGTGTGGCTACCAATCTTGTCTCCACTGCCTGCTTAGTGGCAACTTGACATCCCAATAGTTGTTTGGGGACCTTTTCTGACATGGATCTTTGGTGGGGGTGAATCTCTAAGTCCATAATCACCGCCTTGGATACCAGTCTTGGATCTGGTTTGGTATTCCCCTGAAGGCACATGCTTGCCTAAGGTCCTGATCCCTGGATCAGGCCTCTTTGAAATAATGGATGAAGTGTCGTTCACCCCAGTCCCGTAGTTTGCCAGCTACTCTTCTAAACTCCCACACAAATTCCTTGGGGGGCTGGCTGCGCTGCTTCAATTGCTTGATTTCCACTTCAGTTTCCTCTTGGTTGACTGTGTCCTCAAACTGGGCTTTGAGTGACTGCACAAACTCATCCACATCTTCTAAATCTGGTGCTCCTTCATCATGGAGTTGGGCAATCTAGCCTGCTGCTTCCCCTCCCTCATATTGTCTGCAATGGCCGAGATCATCTCCTGATCTGATCGGTATTGAGCTCCATAACAATCTATGTGGGCCAGATATTTTAGAAAGTAAGCTAGTTTAGACAGATGAGGCTGATGTCATGATGGTACGACGTACAATCTTGAAGCTCCAAGATCGCCTTTGATATCTCTGCCGCTGGACAGTCCTTTTGGACCTAAACTGTCCCGTAGAGACAGTGATAGAGAAGGGCACATCCTGCTGATCCCAGGGACATCGCAAAATCTCTGGTAGATCCAGGAGAAGCCCTTTTTCCAGCGACAGAGAAGCAGCCATTAAAGCTGCTGAAAGTTGGGACAGCTCCAGAATGGAAGCTGGAGACAAAGTGTGTCGAATTGGTGAGATAATTTTTATTATTAAAGAAGAGAACACTCTAAAAGAACAAAAGTAAAGTTACAATTGAAGACAGAGAGGTCAAGTGGCGAGATTAAGCCTGAGTCAAACTTAGTGTGTTATTTTTCTTTAATCCTTTTATTGCTGGAATTTTTACAAACACTTATTTTTTAAACTGGACTGGTTTTTTCTTTTCTTTTTCTTTTTTAATATTTCTTGTTTAAGACTCTCTTTCTTTTTTCAACACTCAATTGCATTTTCTTTTTTAAAAAATTCTTTTTTCCCTTAAGTTTCCCTTAAGAATATAAAGAGGGAAGTAAAAGTAGAGGAAAAGAAGTAACACTGTCACTTGGAGGCTTGGAAACTTTTTTCTTTTCTTTCTTTGAGCATGTGATAATCTTGTGCAAAGTAAGAGCTGGTGTTACATTTCAAGGACTCTGAGCTTGTTTATTGAAAATGATAGGAGGATGAGCACGGATTGTTTATACAGGTGCTCCTCCAGGGAACTTATCAGTAGCTGGACTGGAGTGAAAAGAAAGCTTGGAGTTGAAAGAAAGAAAATTGCAGTGAACTTGTTTGGAACTTAATAAAAAAGCCTTGAACTCTATAAAGTGGCAATGTTTACTATCTGGAGAAAATATCAATAGAGATGATGTTGCAGCATGAAAAAGAAAAGGAAATGACATTGCAAATGATTATGCAAGAAATTCAAAAAATATAAGAACAGAGAACATTGAAAAGAGAACAGAGAATATTGAACAAAGAACAGGAAAGAACCGATGAAAAAATTGAGAATATCCATCAAACGATGATGAAATATGAGGATAGATTTCAAAAAATTGAAGAAAAAGATGAACAAAGAGATAAGAAAATTGGAGATATTGACAGCAGATTGAGCGTGGTTGAAAAAAACAAGAGTGGAATATTGGAATGGGAGATCGACAGATCAGAATTTTACCTCAGATTCCAGAATATAGAAGAAGAAAAGGGAGAAAATTTGGCAGAAGTAATGATAGAAATTCTGGTAGAATCATTGGTGATAACCAAGGGAAGATGATGAAAGGAACAGATGACGGATTTTGAGCCTTTACAAGATAATGCAGTGAAAAACAAGTTGCCAAGAGA